CTGCCAGTGTTTTCTGCTGTCCTGAGTCGTGGTGCCCTCTGAGGGGGGAGGATGCTGCAGGGACACCCCGCCCAACACAGCTGGCTCCTCACACTGCACAAAACCAGCCCCAGCACGTTGTTTTACACCTATGTCTTTAAAATGCGCCTCTTTCAGTAAGCTCAGTAACACCCACAGTGTGTTCAGTTCTCCCCACTCTCAAGGCTTTCCAGGAGGTTCACAGATGCTCACGTGGGTGGGTATTCTGTGGGACCAGCTGGAGGGCAATGATCCAAGGCCTCCCTTTACCCTCTGAGTCTATCCCTGCTATGGAAAAGCTGGTGGAAAACTAGAACAGGAGATGGCTTCATCAACAAAATTTGTCTTTATTAACAGTTTTGTCAGTTAGGAGGAGCACATTGAGATGTGCTCCTTCCACTCCCCAGAGGAAGGAGCACATCTCAATCCCTCACAGCTCTGCTCCACCCCTTAAGGCCAAATTTCCTCACAACAGAATTGAGGGCAGAATCTGCCTGATTTCATCCCAATGTGGCACCAGGGCACAAAGAGACCCACAGTGCCCTTGGCACTGCCACATGCCACAGGACAGAGCCCAGGGCAATAGTGCCAGGGCAATGGTGGCCACCACCCTGCCAGCCTTCTCTTCTCCAGGCACTGGCTGTGCAAGGACTCAAATGTGCCCTGTGGAGAAGCCTGAAAGCTTCAAAAGCTTCTTGCTGCCCCAAAATGTGATGAAACCTGTAAGGCGATAGAACACAAGTAAATAAAGGTGGTATAGAATGTAACCTTACCCCTAAAGAGTTGCAGCTGAGCCAAGTATTAGAGATTAGGAGCAGGCCTGATGTTAACAGGCTGCAGCTGTATCCAATAGGAAGAGTGTTATAAAAGAGTGGATTGGTTGGCTGAGGGGAACTGGAGTCAGTTGGCTGCTGTGAGAGCAAGGCAGAGTCAGTGCCTAGAGGAGCCGCCTACAAGAAACATCAAGGAGGTATGAAAGTCTAGCGATATGGAACCCTTGCAATGTAATGACAACAGAAACCCAGTAACTGAGAGATGCTGGAGCAGCAAAAAGTCTTCCCATCACTTTCATCACTGAATGGTTTCCCTTTAGCTGCGTGTTCAAATTTTCTCAGCCTTTTGAAAGCTCTACCTACAAAACCCCATGTGGCTTTAGTGCCCTGGACGATCAAGAGTTTGCTTAGAAAGGTGCAGGAAGAGAAACAACTTTCCATCCAGCTCAGACCACATCCTAGGGAATATTAACCAGGAGAACAGACTCACGCCTGCATTCCTGGACTGGACTCTGTTCCCTACTCTCCTTTCAGTAAGATTGCATCTTCTTCAGCTGCCACTTTCAATGTCCACACATGTGCATGTCTGTTCCTTAAAAAATTAACAACCAGACATCATCTGACCTGTCTTATGTCCACTGTTGTGGTTTATTGATCATGTGGTTTATTGATCTTCCTCTGGGATTACTGTAAACTTGGGATTCCATAAAAATTTTAAGAATTTTTGGAGATCAGATAACTTATTATCATGGAAACACTGAAGTATAAGTCAAGTATGGTTATCCAGGGGATGGGGGGGATCACATTTAATATTTCACTTTCTAGCTCCATGTATTTGGGCTACAGGAAGGGCTTAGTGAGAGATGTAGTTAGGATTTTGTTACTTGGACATGTGGTGCACCTCATAAATGCAGAACTGTGGTATGCAAGAAATCTGCCTATTCACATTGTTTGTTATTTTATTAGTGCTCATATTTCAGCTTTGTAATTAGCCTGAACATCTGGCCAAATAAAATAGTACTTAAATGTATGAGGCTGGCAGGTCAAATACAGAGTGCTTAAAAATAAGTGCTGGTGAATACAGAGAGAAGTTACTGTGGCTGGGTTTGATAAGCTGACTGGGAGGCTGGGAAAGTGTTTAATGGAGGCAATACCACCCTGCATGTAGAGATATCCTCTCTATGTGATTCTACTACACTAATTATATTCCAGTGCATAGATTCAACTATCTTTTTATTCTAATTAGCATTTTTCCCCTTTGACAAATTCAGGAAGGCTTTGTTGTGCTCTGATACATCCAAAATACAAGAAGCTATAGTTGACAACTGCTCTACTCATAAAACAACACTTTAGCTACATGTATTTTATTAAACAGTATTTAATCCAGTTTTACTTCTGTTTGCTCCTGCTCTGAGTCACACCTTGCTGTTCCAGAGGAGCAGCTGCCCTCCTGCCCAAGGACTGGGAGTGAGTCCCTCCCACAGTGTGAGATGGAGACCAGAGTCTGACTGCACCAATGGGCTTCAGGGCTGACCAGAGCTGTCACTTGTCAGCCCAAGCCATGTCTGAAACTCATCCTAGAAAACAAATGTGCAGGCCAGAGACAAGCACTTCTTGCACTCACCAGGGCAGCCCTCATGACAACTAAGCAGATAGACATCACCACCAGAATGGAAGGCAGGATGTGTTTCTGTGTGCTGATGAGCACAAGGGTCTCTCAGCAGTGGTGGCACACTGAAGAAGGCAGTGGTGGTGGCAGAGCTGGGCTGTCCAGGATGTTATGTTTGTAGTTTGCCCTGGCTGACCCTTGGAGGACACTGGCCTGTGGCTGCTCCCTCACATGCATGCAGCAAGCACATGGAGTGGGGACAGGCAGGAGATGGACCTCAAAAATATATTCCTGGTGGGAAGGGAGGGGCATCTGCTGCAATCCTTGAAGAAGGTAATGCTTTGCCTGATTTGTTGAATACTGAAGCAAGAACAAGGTTTATGTAAGGTGAAATCAAATGTGGCCGTGGTTACAGATGAGTAGAATCAATTATCATCCAATTCTAAGCTGTGAAGGAATCCTCCTGTACGTCCACTGGAGGGTAGGAGCAGCAGGTAATGAGACTCTCCTCACACACACTACTTTAATAAATCAAAACCCACTGTCAGTGTGCTCTGCAATGCCCCATATCAATTTCTAGATACATCAAAATTAGGTCAGTTTTCTTTCTTAGGCTCTCAGACAAGTCCTAATTTTTCCTGATGACATCCCAGAGATAACTGATACACACACACAGCATACTCACCCCACCAACAGCCTGGAGAGACCAAGAAGAGGAGAGGAGCAAAGCCTGGTCCTTGCAGAGGGCTGTCCCAGAGCAGCTCCAGGGCACTGCCAGGGGCTGCTCACAGCTTGAGGGGCAGCACTGGGGCACCCCCTCTGTCCCTGTCCCACACAAATGCCCTGAGGAGGGATGGGAGGGGGGGATTATTCATTCCCTCACCTCACAGGGCCTCTTGCTACAGCTTGCCACCTCCCAAGTGCTTTCATGCCACATAATTATTCCAGTGAAGGCAGAGACTGTTTATTTTGGTTTAGGGTTTTACTGCTTGGCCCACACCACAGCATATGAAAAGGTTTACTAACAAATCCACCTCCACCTTTTTCCTGCTCTTTTGACCCTGGTTGTGGTGAGTATTGCGCTGAAAAATTGTGTCTGTTTCAAAAGGCTCAATATAATCTGCTCATAAGTGTGCTGTCTCTTCATACTTTGGTAGGTAACAAATGACTGTGATTAAAAGAAAGGATCTGGTGATCTGCCAGTAGTTCTGACAAGGAGAGCAGCAATAAAAAGCCATAAAGCCACAAAGGTTTCCAAAGGGCACAGTGTAAAACTTGCTACAAACCAAGCACAGCTCTGTTATGATCTGCCCAAATAGCTGCCCAATCATTGTTTAACACCTTTGTATCAAACAATTAGCTCAAGAAGCTGATTTATTTTAATTAGCCAATCAATATTTCTCAGTATTGTTTCTGCTGACCCTGAATTTCTAACCTTCCCAAGACTTCCCTGAGTAACCCAGCAAGTTAAGCCTGATGTTATTTTTGCATTAACATTTCAGCTGCCTTTAATTTTTAGTATGATTATTATAATTTTTATATTTTTTTTACAACAGCTGAAACTGATCTGTGTTGTAAACGGCCAGGAAAGTTCAGCCAAAGTGGATGTGAGCAGGATTGAAAGCTCAGGCCTGGTCACATACTGAAGAAGAGGAGGGTGATTATTTGGGCTCAAGAGGATTCCACCCTGCCATCAGTAAACTGTGCTGTAAACTGCTTCCAGCACAACCAGACAAATCAGATTACTTCTATTTTTGATATGAAGTCAAAAGCTTAGGGTAGACATAGTCATTATTGTTTCTTAACTTTCAGCCATTCTGGGGAATTGTTTGGGTGTAGGTACCTAGGACACTGCACAGAAAGAGGTGTATCTGAGAGGATAAGGAGAATGGATTTAATGTCTCTTCACTCAGCACATGAAGGTATAAAACAGAATCCTCCTCAGAGAAGGGATTATTGATTCTACTTGTTCTGTTTTAGATGAGCACTCAGAACATGGAAGTGTTTTATGCAAATGTTGTCTCTTAATGCACCTGCCCCAGCAACCACTCTCCTGTTAGGTAAGTACACATAATGATCAGACTGAATCCATACTTAAAAATAGTTTGAGGGTTTATTTTTTCTCAAACTGGACATGAACTGGAATATTTGTTCTGAAGTGTTTGTGGAGCCTGTGCTGGGCTCAACTTCTTTAAAATAAAGCCTTTCAGCTCCCTGGATAAAACCACACCAAAAATTCACATACAGAAGCTAAAAGAAGACTATGTCAGTGAGAGTCAACACAAACAGGAAATATTTGTGCTGAAGTCAAAAGCTTGCTGTCACTAATGCTTTACCAGACTGTAAAGGCTGGAAATGATGGTGCCTCAGAAATTCTGGGTGAGGAATTTTATGCTGAGCAAGACAAGCAAGGCAACACATTTAAAAACTCAACATATGAATAGTCCATTTATTAAAACAAAAGACTTTTCTACCATAAGGAGGTTACAAGAGAGATTAAAAGAAAACGAATTAAAATCAATCATAGGTAACAAATACCATTGCAGAGACATACTCCTGCTGAAAAAAGTTCAAGCCTTTATACATGTTTTAGAAGGAAGTGGAGACATTGACCATATCTCTGTCTCACACACTCTCACACAGTGTCACAAATTACAGGAAATGACATCAAGCCACCGAGCACAAACCTAATTCCAGAGTACACAATGATTCACATGTTGACGTGGTTTTGTGAGTATTGACAATGTGAAAAGTTAGATCCAGGAAAAGTTAGATCCAGCTGTGCACACAGGAACTACCAGCCCTGGTAGATGGGAGAGCTCCTGGTTAACCTCTCGTCACTGCTGGTGTTACCTTCAGACAACATGCTGATGGCCTCGTCCGTCTGCTGGCTGTCAGTGGTCGAGATCTTCTTGGAGTCGTGGATGTTGCTTTGGTAGTTCACTGGGGAGGGATAGGCATTTTCCCCCACAGTTGATGAGGACATAGATTCCCAGGGTATTTCTCTCTTTCTCCATTTCAGGTCCACTCTCCATCCTGTCCAGCCATAGAAAGCCAATGTGAAGAGAAAGCCCTGCATGGGATTAAGAACCCCCTGGGAAAGAGAAGGGCACCACGAGTTACACCAGCAAGGAAGGCTTCATCCTCAACTCTAGCAAAATGATTTGCATGCATTAAAAGCTTCCCTTTCACTGAATGATTGCTGACTTTAAAATACACTATTTGCACTCAAATAAAAATTCAGTCATCACAGGCACAAACAAATAAGAGAAAAATACCACAACCTGTTTTCCAAAATGCTGAGGCCATAACAGTAAGTAGCAAGCACAGAATGATTTTCTAGCATGAAGTTTAGCCAGTCAATCCCTTGGTGTGTTTTTAACTTTCCCCACAAGCTCTGGACTATTTTATTCACAAAAGCATGTGTATTTTTCATTACAAGCCAAGTCAAATATATGAGAGGAGACACTAGCATAGACAGTCAAGCTTTTAAAAATAGCAGAAATTGATCTGTCTGGAATTGCTTTAGATTCCTGAGCCAGTGAAGATGTCCATCAAAGTGGGATGGAAAAATGGAGAGAGGCACTGAAAAAGAAAATCCCAAGTGATTGCCAAAAAATTTGTCTCTGTTCCCAGTGCCATGAGAGGCTTAACAAATTAATGGCTTTAGATGCTTCTATTTTTCTCATAGGAAAAGAAGGCAATTCTTTTTACAGCCATTTTAAAGCAGAGGTCAGTCCCCAGACTTGACCTCTTGCTCTCCAGGTGAGCAAGGGCAAGGTCCCTGTCACATGAATGTGTTCACTCCTTGTCAGAGGAGGAGGTTGTATCACATCAGTTACATCACTTAATCCTCCAATATCAAACTGCTCAAATGTTTAATTACACAAATCATGCTCAGGCCTTACATCTATTTAACAACTCCAGAATAAATTCTCTAGGAAAATGAACCTGCACTGTCACCACTGAAAAATCCCTTGTCAAATATTCTAATTGGAGAAAGAGGCTACAGTAAGAGACCAGCATCTCACAGCTATTTTTGGTTCCTTGTCTGAAAGATTTTTCACTTATTTCTTCCCAAATAATGATCCAAATTTCATGACATAACATGCAATCAGTCTTTATAATAACAAAAAAACCACCCTAGTTGCAAACAGAGAATTTCCATGAAGTGCCCATTTAATTGGGAATCCCTTCAGGAACTGTGAGCTAAAACTTTGCAGCTTGCATTGAGGCAGAGTTTAGCAAGGTGAGGATAGAAATCATTGTAGTTATCTGTTCTGGACCTTAAACTGGTAGTGATCTCTCACAGAGAGAAAGCATGCTCCAGTAAAAAGTTGGCCTCTAGGACATTTTTAGGGCAAAGTTTACATGTGAAAAACCCTCCCATTGACTGTTCATTCCTTTCTCTTACTTTCTGCTTTTCTTCCTTGATTTTCAGAGTGTTTATATCCCTCAAAATCATAAACCCCACACTACACAGGTGTTGTTCCACCAGTCTCACAGCAGTGATTTCTAAGCCCAGGTGATGTCCCAGCTGACCCACCATGATGATCCAGGTGATCAGTGCAGCACTCCTGATGTTTTTCAGGGGCATTTCATTGATGTCTGGCTGCATTTCGAGGTAGAACAGAAGGGTCTCGTTGATGATGTTGGATGACCAGCTGTGGCAGGAGCAAAGAAGAAAAGGACAGTTACATATGGATGGGCATGTAAAATATGCTTCACCTTCAAATTATAGAAATTAAAATCACTCTAAGGACAGTGAGATTTTTTTTAAATCATAGAATCATTAAGGGCAGAAAAGACCTCTAGGATGATCAAGTCCAAGATAGTTGGATTCCTTGCTAAATCTCAATCTGAAGGGACCTGTAGGTCTATGAGATCACAATCAAGGACTGGACCTACCTACTCACCCAGGCCTAGACAATATAAATCAATATTTTAAGAAAACTGATTATTTTAACTTGCTGCAGAACAGTAAATTGCAGAATAAAATTGAGATGAGAAGGAAGTGTGACCCATGATGGGAATATCATGCATGCTGATTTCTATCACTTGTGCCTTAGAAGAGTTGTGCTCACAGACAAGGAACTCAAATATATAACCCATCACATATTGTTGTTGTTAAAGGCTGCAGGATTTCCAGCTGGAGTTAGAATTTAAGGATTAGATTAAAGACTTCCAGGATGTCCATTAAAAACACCAAAAATACACAAAAGTTGACCTTTAAATCCTTGAAAATGTTAACAATTATTTTTAATTGTTTATTTTAATTATTTAATTTTTAAAATTATTTAATTAATTTTATTTTTATTATTCAATTTAATAATATCTGTCTCCAAATAAGGATGATATAATCAAGCCTCATTCATTGAAAGAAACTGAGTGTGTTTCAATAGAGATTATAGCAAATGGCTGCAAGTTCCTATGACATCTAAACAGTGAGAGAAGCATTTCTTTCTACTTGTACTGTGGCTTCAGAAATGAAACCATCAGCATTCGTGTCATACTTTCTAAGGGGTTTTATATTTGTTCTCTGCACAATTATATCTTTATTGCAATGTAAAACCTCCTGCTCTCCCCTACCAAATCTGTAGGCATCTCTTCTATCCTATTTTGCCCCAACCTGCTGTCTTTCACTAAAGCATTCCATATTTGACTTCTGGGATGGAAGGAAATCTTCCCTGTGCTTCTGAGATGAGACTGCCTCAGTCTTTCCCTCCAGTAACCTTTGAGAAAGTTTTTACACTCCACAGAGTGTACACTACACAGAGCTTATGTTTTATTAGAGCAAAATCCAAAACCAGAGCTGTGATTTATTTTTTTATTAGGAAACCCCAGAATGAGACAGAATGGAAATAAACAAATGTCCCCACAATGTCCATGGGAAATTGGCCTTTCCTTTCATGCTTTTTCCCAGATAATCAAGCTGGCCACCATCCCTTAGGTTGCAATGCACTTCTGTGGTGCCTCTGGGCTCTTTCTTTCCACAGCCCTGGGAGCTTGGCTGAATCTCTACTCCTTATTATTTCAGCAATTTCCAGGAAGCCTTGCTGCAGGATCCCTGCTGCTGTCTTTCACTCCCTCCTCTGCTGCCTACCCCACCCTTCACATTGGAAACTTCACTTCCAAGCCAAGAGCACTGTTATTCCCCCAAAAAGACAATCATTTCCTTCCAGAGCACTCAGCAGACAGCAGCCAAGAGAAGATAAAAGAGGCAGCCTTTCTCCCTGCTCAGCCTGTTAGAGCAATGTAACATGCATTAATACACCTGTGTGTAAAGAAGATAAGTGGGATGTAGAGAATGCTAAGTTTGGCCTTCTCATTTCACTGCTCCAGAACCATTTCTTGTTGTCCCATTCTTCTCCTCCTTATCTCTTTTCTGTCCTATGCCAAAGTACTATTTTCATGGGGAAAGACAAAATATTTTTAAAATTAAATAAATAATAAGAAATTTCGCATGCAATCATATGGAGTTTTCTTTTCTGGCATTTCCTCATTTTCTAGTCAGTATCCATGTGTTTTTCAGGCACTTGAAAACTGCTGAGCACAGAGGTGGCTGTATTGTATGATCATGGTCAGAGCCATGAAGCCAGACTTGGAAACATCTTTATTGTAGGTCCTCAGTGATGTGTTTGGTGCCATGAGGCTCTGAGAAATGTTGATTAAAGAAAGCCAGCTACCATCTACCAGCCCACAGAGCTGGGAGCCTGCTCTACCAGACAGCTTCAGCCAATGCCCAACCTATTGGGAATTTTTTGCTATTGTTTCTTGTTGCTTTTGCTTTTCTGTTGGTTAAACATTTTATCATTTCCTCACAGCCTTGGGAGTGATTCAGCTCCTTTGTGAGCTAGTTTAGAACTGCTTCTTCCTTAGATACCTTCCCTTCCAAGCACAAAGACAAACAAATGAAGCAACCCATCAGTCTTTACTCCTGTCCCTGACTCTCTCCCTCTGGGAAAAAGGCACTTTAAAGGAAAATAATGCACCTCTTACCAAATGACAAATACCAGCATAATTTTGAAGAAGCGCATCTGGATCTCTGTCCCCAGACGTCTTTCATTCTCTGTGTAAATTCCTTGTCTCCCTTTCAGTAAGGAGGCAACTGAAAATTATACAATTATGTTTGTTAATGTATGCTCATCTTGTTAGTTTAGGCACAAAAATCCAGAAGATAGAAGCCTTAAAGAGGGAGCAAATGAATAGATGGATTTGTCCCCAGCAGCTGTTCAGAAACTGGAAGGACCATTTTCAAGGAAATATTGCCTAATATTTAGGAAAATAATTACACACAGCTGGATTCCTAAAATGAAAGATATCTCACTATTTTTTTTCTCTTAATCCCACTGAAAATATGAAATAGTATGACCAACATAATTCTATTTCATAACAAAAGGTACCATGTACCTTCTATATAATGTGTGACATAATTATATGCTTATAATGTGATGTTTGAACAGAATCTTCTATCCTATTATGCACATTGTTTTTCATTGTGTCATTGATACAGCATTAGCTACACCTCTAAAACAGGAAGATGGATTGTCAGCAAAAAATTACACTTCATGTTGTTCAGATATCACAAGGAATATAAAAATGCAAACACAAATATACAAGGAACAACTTTTTATGGGAACGACTTCTTAAAAGAACAACTGCTTCTTTGAAAATGAGTATAGCTGAGGGACAGAGAATGAATGGGATAAAGATTGAACTGAGAATACTTTATTTTCCCCTGCTTTTTTATATCATCAATGCATAGATTAAATCAGGTACTGCAAACATCCAGGCATGATCATATTACATGCAAAGAATGCGTTGAATCTGTGACTTTTTTCAGTCTCACTTCTTCCAAGCACTGGATAATAAATTGAACTGGAAGGTCAAGATCCCATCTGAGTTGTGTACAATTCCCATCTGAGTTGTGTACAATTCCCATCTGTTTCATAATCTCAGAAGTGACAAAATTCTGATCACATTTTATTACATTTTTTGCTCTAGGGCTGCCAAGAAGTTAAACCAACTCTCTGATCTCACCAGCTAGAATAAATTGCATTCCAAAGTTGAGGCTGGTACCAAAACTCCAGTAGAGTTAAGCATCCAGGGTACATTGCCTCAAAAGCTTTAAATCAAGTAACATGGAAACATGTTTGCCCACCTGCAGTTAGAGGTTAATAACAGAAGAGATTTTGTGTCACCAGAATTTGTCTCTAGGGCAAATTCCCCATAAAAATGGTGTTTTCATTTCCACAGGCAACTGCTTCCCAGCCTTTGCTGTGTCTCTATGATTTACCAAGGAGCTGTCACACATCCCTGAGTACAAAGCCATGATTTCTACAGTACTGTGTTGCCAAATAACACAGACTGGTTGCTGCTGGCCATTAGGAACATACCTGCTGATACTGTCCTCCTAAACAGGATTGGGTTGGCCACAAGCACTAGCAGGAGTGGGGCATAGGTTGTGATGTAATGTGGGATTGCATGTTCCAAGCCATTTTCACAGCTGAGAAGAAATCATTAAAAGATTATGCATTGTTTTCCCCCGCAGCTCACTTTTCTGCCTATTTTATCTATGTCAGCTTTAACTTAGAAAAAAAAAAGAAGAATGAAGGAAACAGATGCAAAAAATTTAATTTCTGGACCTTTACCACCAGTTGACATGGCACATAAAGTTGATTTTAAGCATGCACTCTCAGTGGGTTTTTCTCAAATTGAAAGGAAAGCTAAAGCCAGGAGTGGGAGAAGGGTGGTTCACAGAAGCTGTGTCACAGCAAGCCCAAGTGCCTGGATTGCCTCGCATAGTTCTTCAGGGCCCCATGAAGCCCAGGCAGGTATTTCAAACATAATCACTGAAAATAATCAGTGGGACATCCTTGGCAAAGAAGAAAATGCTCAACTTTTTAATATCTGCCTCTAAAGCTGACCAAAAGACACCCAAATGAGCAGAGAGTGCCCTGATTTCAGTGTTTCCAGAGCCTGCTTACCTGGAGAGAGAGGGGTAGTAAAGCAGAGCAATCCCCTCCACACAGAGCATCACTGCCAGGCCCCAGGTCATCATGTGGTACAGCACAATTGTACTGCAAGCACCAAACACCACAGGCACAGTTAGAGACATCCAGCATCACACTGCCCACATTGCAAGGTAAAAACAGGACCCTCACTGAAAAAGAGCTTTACAGGCAGGAAATTGTGCAGAACAACACTGGCAATACATTAAACTCAGGAAAGCAGGTGGGTGGGGGCAGTGCTTCAGAAAAAGAGTGAGCCAAAGCAGTTATTCAGGGTTGCACATGGAAGTCCTGTCCCCTCCTGCCTGCAGGGTGGAGGGAACAAGAGACTTCTGCCCTGCCCTTATTATTGAGAAGGAACCCCTGCATCTTTCATTTCTCCTGCAGAGAACAAAGTAGCTGATTAAAATTTAAGAATGGAGATGAACAGTCAAATAAACCATCCTTTTGTGATTTGTAGAAAATGTTTAACTTTCAGAGCTGGATATCCCTCCCATCTTAGGGAGACTCAGATCTGTGTTTGTAGAAACTTTTGCTGTTTACTCTGATCTCACAATCAAGCCCAAATACACATGATTTTTTTGGTTAACAGGGATGGGGGAAGGAGGCAGGTCCCAGCTGTTTGATCAGAACTATGGGGCTTTAGACTGTTTAGGATAAACTTGATTTTGTAATGTTAACTCAAAAAGCCTCATTTTGGTTACACCTGCAGAAGAACCATATCCTTAGTATCTGACTGCTCTGTATCATCTGGGAACAGAGTCACATAATTCCACTTTTATCAGCAGCAACTGAAGGTTATCTTGCTCTTCTAAAAACCAACTTAGAAATTTCTTTGGTTTTTTTCCTGTCTGGCATTAAAGCATGGTACTTTCCAAAGGGTTTAGGCTCTTCTTTCACAGGCATTGCAGAAAAATATATGATAAATACATATTTTTCTTTTGAGGGATTTTAAAAGTGTGATCAGAAGGGCAATAATGATCACACTCACTGAGAAATGAATAAAATAAAAAATATCAGAGAAAAAGAAAAAACCAGAATTAACTATATGAAATTAACTGCATGAAGTTCAGCACTTCCCCCCTCCAAATTTTCATTTTCTGTATAACACTATTTTTTGCTGCAAAAATCAATTTCAGATGCAGGGTAGGGACAAAAATATTCATCTCATTGCCATAAAGTTTATAGACTACAATTTGCTCCATTTTTTTCCAAAGGTTAAATGAATTCAGTTACGTTTAAATTGAAGTTGGACATAAGTCAGTATTGCCCTGGCAATTTAAGCACTCAGAACACCACACATCCCTATCATTACCTGGTAGCTATATGAGCATCAGATGATTGTACAAGACTCACTTATACTCTTAGGCAGCTGCAAACAGAGACATACAGTGTTGGGGGGAAAAAAACAAATTCAGAGCTTTAACTCTGGTACCTCAGTCCAGCTGATCTTCTCACCACCAAGTAAGAATCAACAGCATAGCAAAACAACCACCAGAAGCCAGCACTATATAACAGCTGGATCCACATCTAGAGGGGAAAGAAGTGCCAAATGTCACAGCTGCTTCTCCAGTACCACTGGGGCAGGGAAGGGATTCAAACCTTGGCCTGCTGATTTGTTCTTCAAATGTGTGCATTTTACAGATGAGATTATGGAGTATGAAATCTTACTGAAAGTCACAGGAACAGCATTGTTATAGCTTATGGGTCAAGTTGTAGGTAAATTGAACAGCATTTGCTTTCACAGCTCATTTTCTGATTTAGAAAACCTTGATTTACCTCTCTATTCCTAACCTGAACATGGTAAGTGAAGCCCAAAGAAATTTATAGCTAGGATGCTTTAATTTTAGGTTAAAATTGCAGTTGTTTCTCAGTAGCTGAGGCACAAAAATATAACTGAGGTCAGTCATAACCACAGTGTGCCTATGCATTTGTGGGCTCTGCATGTGCTGGGTGTTTTCTCCATGCACAAGATGGTTATCAAGAGAAAAACTCATTAATGAGAAAATCACTCACGCTCTGGAAGAATACACCTACTGAACTCCCTGCGTGATTTCTTCAATAAAAATCCAAAGCAAACAGGTTCAAGTCAAGCCAAATTCCACAGCGTTCTTGAGTTGACCCCATGCATTTTTCCCATGAGCTTATATAGGAAAAGTGACCTTTCTTTGCCAGTGTATATAAATTCCACATTTCTTCCCCATAGGAGCTGGCTCTTTGTAATAGTCTGGGAGTGTTTTAATATTCATGCTATCTTCCCTCCAAGCTGTCTCTCAGTTCTTATCTGAATATCCTTTATCACAGCTCCATAGTAGCATCGTTTTACATCTGGAAATCAACATACTTGTTACTAAGCCAAACGTTGATGAATAGAGATCTAGCACTCCTTCCTCCAAAAGGCAAATCAAGCTGGGAAATATTTCCTTTCACCATGGGTGTAGACCCTACCTCTAGCAATTTGTGGCATGAATTATTCAGTATTCAATTCAAACATCATGATATTTTCCTAGTGCACAGGAGGCAGAAAATAAGATCCCAGTCTTCCTTCTAATGCACTTTACCCACAGCACTCAGCATGTAACTTCATCATCACATGTACAGATTTGCTGCACTTGGAAAATGCACAATTTACTACCCATAAACACACATATACAAAAATAAACTGCAGTTTTCAGAAAATCCAACACAGACAAAACTGTCTCCAAAAATAATATAAATCAGATGCACTTAAACCCTAAAGCTTCATATGATACCTTACTTTTTAGCTTGCTGAAAGGGTACCCCTCTGCAAACCATTCAAGGGAGATATCTGAAAGTTTCACTATTTGCAGTTTGTATAGGCTTGTGGTTAAGAGAAATAAAACAATAGCACTAAAAGAAAAATAAAATAGAATTGGAAGCATTTTATTAACTCACATGAGAATATGTTAGGGGAAATGAGTGGAAGAAGGGTTATTTTTCATTCCAATATAGTTGAATCTAAATTTAAAATGACTCAAATTACAGCATTTTCCTGGAGCACAAGTAAGGGAAAATAAAAATTGTGGTAGACCACTATACTGCTCACCATCTAACCTGAAATTCAAATGAAAAACAGTCTGCATACAGTACTCTGTCATGTTTAAAAATACGTTTTTATGTGTTATGGGCAAGAAAGTGAAACATGAGGAGGAATGGGTTTTTAGTAGGACATTCTTGCTGCATGATATTGAGATTGTTGGTTCTTTCTCAATGAAAAAACAACAGCATTTGCATCTAATAAGCAAAATTTAAAGATATGTGATAGAATTGAGAATTGATGTATACAATTTATATTTGTGTCCATGGCACAAAACTATCCTGTTTGAAGCTGCTTTTATATAGGAATATAAAGCACAGTGAGTTCAATTTGGCACACATTGCTTTCTTTTAAAACTACTGGAGCTGAAGAATTTTCTTTACATGCAACCTATCCCCTTCTACATGGTAAGCTTTGAATTGCAAAGCTAATACTGCTATTGCTCATGCATTAATTCATATGAAATCCCACATTCCTATTGCATCTGTGTGGAGTGATGATCTGTCTCACTTGTCATTGTCAATGTTTTGGTAAAAATTGTGACCTTTATTCTTGTATAGTAAGCTCAAATTCTATTTCTGTGGTGGTTTTATTATAAAATTTGGAACTGAGTTTCAATGTGTACTTTTGGAATGCATTTATTTTGCATTTTAATCCAGAGGATACTTAATTAGACTTGGGCAGATGCAGTCATTGAGATGCAGCCCAGCAATCTGAGCTGCAATCCCACATGGCAGGGACAGACCTTCTGCCAGCAGGTTTGTGGCTATGAGTATATTTCTCCTGCTGTCTAAAACACAGACTCTCCTGCCACAAAAGCTAATTTGAGCTACCCAAGTTGCTGGTTTCAGGAGGTCCTTGCTGCACCACACAGGCTGCAGTTTCTGACAGAGGAGACAGACAGAACACCTGGTGCTGCCAGTGCAACGGAGCCACTGTGGCATTGGTGGTGCTGTGCCAGCACAAACCCAACAATGCTTCACAGCCTTTTGGGGCTGCTTGTATCCTTTTGGTTCCACGCTCCTGACTTTGATGTACTCCACTCCCCTGGCACTCCTGGAGTTGCGAACACCTCAGAACTGGTGGGATCAGCGTGACCCAGCTGCCCTACATCCCTGCCCACCGTACAGCCCCATCAGCACCTGCCTGCCTGACCCAGGCTCGCAGAGGGAGGCATGAATGCACTTGCAGGGGTGTGGCAGAGGCTGAAACCGTCATATCCAGGCTCTGACTCACAGCCACATTTCCTTTTGGACACAGCAAGCAGTTTTCCTTTCAGATTCCCCCTGTGGAAGGACCCTTAATTGGGAGCAGAGGAACGGGGGGATGATCTGGGTACCTACCGCGCTCCCCACGCAGAAAGTGGAAGGCCACACGTCAGTCCCGTTCAACACAGAAATGTTGGCTATGAAGCCTGGGAAGCCCAGCCATACACTTGACCTGAAGATTATACCTAAAAAAAAGAAATGTATTAATGCTTTGAATCTGCTGGTGTGATTTGAGTCACATGCTTTTCCCTGGCCACATATTTCACATCGCAGCCCAGATTTTGTGCGTCTACAGGAAGGCGACGGCTGCAGAGGAGCACAGCAGGGACAACTGTGCTATTTAAATGTCAGTGGGATCATCCAGGGAAAGTAGCCCCAAGAGCTGGAAGCTGCTGGAACTTAAAAGTTACAGAGATTAGGATCTCACTTAGAGATGGTGTCACATGCTTCCCTAACATAAACTGGGTAGCATTCAACATAAACACTAAATAACTGTTTACCAGCATATATTAATACACTGATATTCACTTCTCTATAAACCCCTCCCCCCCACTGCAGAAAAAGAGTTATTTTTCATTTTTCTCTGCCTTCATTTTACAAGCAGCTCTTTTCCTCTGTCACAGGACTGAGAAAAAGCAGCACTTCTGAATTAGGTAACAACAAGGCTCTTTTAAAAAATGAACTTAGAGTTTGTTAGTGAGGTTTTCTGCGTTTGCTTGAAATAAAGCACCAACAGGAAACAGAACAAATTGACCTGGTTTCCCACCAAGAATGAACTGTATTAGACTCACCCACTGAAGTGAGTCTAATACAAAAACAACAATGGATAACTGGTTTGAGTTTGCCAGTGAAAGAGGAAGAGAGAAAAATAACTTTGTCTATTGTTGGCTTCATCTGACTGAAAGGACCTTTTCCAGGTGCATGGCTATCCATATGTATTTTCCATATCTCTTTCTTTACTTCCTTTATAATCTTTGGTTTAGTATTGGTACTTATTAGGTACTGTGAGACAACCTGGCTGGGTGTGAAAGGGGAAGAGAAGTGAAACACCCAGACACACAGACACACAGACACACAGACACACAGACTCACACACAGCCCCCAGCAGTGAGACAAAACACTGCTACTTCTATTACCTAATGAGAGGTGGGAAATGCTACTGTAGAAACAAACTTGTCCTGTATTTTCATAGGATGTGTCATGATAATTTATACCAAATTTGACAATAAATGATTGATGGGAAAAATTACCAAATGACTGATGGGACAGCTCAACACATACTACCTTTATTTTGACTCATGCATTCTGTTTTAGTCTCCACTGGTTTATTCCTCCAGACTATCCACCAGGGTCTGGGCAGCAGGTTGTCCTTGATAAGGTAGCTTTACTCACATTTCAAAAGCCTTTGCCCAGCATGGTCTATGTGCAGCTGCAAGTCAAACTCATTTTCTGTCAATGTGATGTGCCCAGAGAAGCAGCTGGCACATGAGCAAGAGGCACACTTGGTCCACAAGGATTTGAGGACATAGAGGACAGTGGTTTTCAAATGCCATCCTATGGATTGGCTAAATGTTTGATGTCAGATTTATTTTCCAACGTGCAGCCTCATCTCCACTTTTATGCCTTACTCTGAGAAGCAGTTGCCATTCTAGATTTTAATTTGTTTTAAAGCAGAGATTTTGGTGTAGATTTGTCAGGAGCTTTCCCTTCCACAGCATAACTATTAAACAAGAACCTTCTCCCCAAGGAGCCATAATTTCCTGATCTCACTTAGTCCAAATCTTCCTGTGGACACAAACAGCTTCCCTCAGAAATCTCTGCTGTCCACTCACCAGCTTCTGAGGTCTGTGGTACCTCAGAGCAAAAAGAACCTGTTACAGCCATGGCAAGGACAGCAAGCTGGCACTTACCTACACCCCCGAGGATATCACAAATGGAGATAAGGAGAAGGATGGTGGAGGAGGAGGAGGCTTTGGGCATCTTCCGTGGGCTCTGTCCCTTCTTTGGCAGGAGCTGCAGGATGGTCAGTAGCAGGCTGATGGAGGCACTGCCAATGCAGACTCCACAGAAGACTTCAGGCTGGAAGTGCATCACCAGCTGTGTGGCTGCATCCCTGTTTGGGCAGCAGTAGGTTTCTAACCTTGGAGAAGCCATGAAACGTCTGACTGGTGGAGGGGCCCCAGGAGCAGAAGAAAATGCTGTTGCTTCCCCAAGGCAGCATTCACTTTTTCTTCACCCTCCCCATTAGTCCTCGGTGGTGAGAATCACGCGATTGATGGATCATGTGCTGCTGCTACTGCTGCTGCTGGAAGTAAATCCCCTAGAGCTGCCTTTCTCAGCCTCTCCTAGAAAGGAGATCAGATCTGAACAAGAAACCACAGTGTAATCTGAACCATGCCCCATGCTCGCTCAGAGCCATTGGCAGCAGTTCACTCACATAGTTCTGCTTGCACAGTGTGTGATGCAGGAAGACTTAAACTCATCAGAGCATTGAAGATGGTTTAAAATAAATAAGGATGCAGATACCAAAGTGGAAGCATTACATTTTAATTGTGTTTCTCTTTAGCCCCATCCTCCACAGCACCCTTTAGTTACCTCAAATTAATTGAAAAGATGAATCCAGACACAAGCAGTCCCAGTCTTTACAGGGAAGAGCAGGGATATAAATCCACACCCTAACCCAAATCTCAGTTTTAGTGATCCAACCCATCTCTGTAAATAAAATCAGAAGCACGATGCCCTATCACTGTAGAAAGAGATTACATTTGGGAAGAAAATATTAACCTCATCCTATTTAAATTGCAAGCACAAAAAATCCTTTCTTTAGTCAGTACTGTCTGCATTAGATCAGCTTGACAGGGAAAATTCCAGGACTTAGGATTTCTCAATATCATATTTCTCTGTCTCTCTATCTTTTTTTTTTTTTTTTAATTTGGTAAGGATTCAATATGAAAACAGGAACTTGACCTGCAATATTTGTTTTTCCTTTATAAGTTTGACAATATATTTTATGACAGAGGTCCTGCTAGATACAGCAGCAAATATAATCATATTTGCAATCATAAACACAAAAAGTAATTCTTCCCTTTAAACTAAGTCTCCAACTCCCTGTATCAGCCCTCACCCTTCCAGAAAATTTGTTTATAGGGACACATTCAGGAAATACAGGAGGAAACATTGCCAAAAGACTCAAAGTCATCAGCATGTTAAATAACACAGTCATGGATTTTATAATTAGTCCCTGTAAGAACAAACGACCTAACCTATTTTTTTCCCCAATGGTCTGGCTTATTTTTTGGCAGAAATTATGAGGGGCTCCTGAATGACAATGGAATGTTTTGTGTGTAGTGGTTATGAACACAGTGAGTTTGCCCTCAGCAGGGAAATCAGCTGCAGCCCTGGGTGAAATGGTGCCTGCTGCACACATTGGCCAAGAGACCTCATACACTCGATCCCAGCAAAAGAACAAACTGCACCAAGCCTCTCAGCCTGCTGGTGGGGGCTGTGCAGCCTCCCAGTGCTGGGCTGGGGTGGCAGGGCTGTGGTGGCAGCGCTGAGGGGGCACCAGGAGCTGCCAGGTCTGATGTGTGCCCACCCATCCTGGTGCCAGGGCACTCCTGGGGCTCTGCTCGGGCACTGGCACTCGAGCAGAGTGTCAGCCTGCAAAGCCAGGCTCCTACACGTGCAGGGCCATACATCAACAAGGTGTTTGGGCTCCTGCTGCAGTCAGCTGAGGTCTTAGGCAGCCAAGCTTATGGTCTAGACTTTGTCTAGAGAGCTGTTCAGATCTTTTGAAAATAAATGCACAGGGTGAGCTGAGGAGGCTCCAGTGACCATAGGCATACATGTCATCAAAGACTCTGAAACACAGGCAGCTGAGCTGAATGTTTTGCCAAGTGTTTTTGCTGCTTTCCAGCATAAAGAGATTTCCCTGCTCCTTGGATGAGGACAGGTGAGTGAGCTGGATGTTGCAATCCTACAGTTTGTTGCTACCATGTATACAAAAACATATTGGGGACAGCAAGGTTGCAAAATCAGATTGCTCTGCTCCAGAAATACAAACTCATGCTGAGGTTGTCAATACAGGGCTCTGTCATCAGTACAAGTCTGGGACTCCTCAGACTTTATTCCACCTCTGCTAGAGCAGTAGTGCATGGGGTTGCCACATTTCTGTCAAGATACTGCATTGAAACCTCCCTGGCTACTAAAGAACTAAGGAATTAACGTCCACAGATTATTTGTTAAAATTAGGCCATCGTATGCTACATATACAACTCAAAGACATATACATGAAAAAAAATTGCTCTAATTTGAAGGAAAAATTATATTGCTTGGCTTATACTTAGAAGAGAAAAGCTTTGAAATATTACAGAGAAACTGTTTAATACTTTCATTCCCAATATCAGTTTCTAAAATTGTTCCCTTTGCTATTTCTGTAGCCATTTTCTTTCTTTCAAAAATTTAAAAAGCATGTCAAGTCATTATCCTGATTTTGTTTGAGTTTGTTCTGGCTTACAGATAGGAATGTTTTGTGTATTTTGCTTTTTCTGCTTATTGTTTGTTTTCATTGATCTTGACCGTGATCTTCTACTCTGCCCATGTGGATTTATCATTTTATTATTATAACTTCTCTCTCCCTTTTTTTTTTCCAGCCACTTTGAAACTACTTTCATTACTCAATTGTACTCCTGTACTCTGGAGATTAATTTTTTTATATGTCCCTTCTATTCTTGCCACAGTTTTGCCAGCTGTGCCCACTCCTTTTATTGCTTTATTCCTCTGAGTGGAGCATTGGTTTTTAACCTCTTCTCCTGGGTTCCTTCCCTCCTGTAATTTCTCAGGACTTGATTTTGTAGTTTCTTCAGAGGGAGTATGTGGTTTTTATTGGAAGCAAAGCACATGACCTGTAGCATACCTAATGCAAAAAGGAAAATTAAGTGACCCATGAATGAACTGATACTTACCATGATAGAAGTAGAGGTGTCTAAAATACGCCAACATTTGAGGCTGAGTGGGAGATTCATCTACCTAATTAATGAGCCATGCAATACCTCAGCTGGTAAGAGCTAGCTAGTCTCTGGTTTTCATTGCTGGGCTCAAAGGATAGAGAGTTAAAACAGTCAAAGAAATTCAAAACTGGTTTGGCAGTCTTATACTCAAGATTAATTTGGCTTCTTGTGATTATGAAAATAAGAGGATAAAAGCTGGGGACAAAGGCAAGGAAGCAGAAAAAATAGTGAAACAAATAAGAGAATACTTATTTTTTTCTTGTTAAGGACCTTTATTTAGTATTCTACAAAACTTACATCGTTCTACAGGTCCTAATTCCCTACTCTCTGAAGTTATTGACACAATTCTCACTTCTGCCTGTGTATGAGGAAGGCAGACATGGTATGTCTCATTTCTCCACCAAGACAGGATCTCAGCTAAGCAAATGATGTAGCTTGGAGACAACCATTAGCACACATACAAGAAACACTAAAAATAAACCCCTCCTGGCATTGCAAACAGCAATCAATCACACTCACAGCACAAGTACAACATTGCACAACACTGCATAGCACTGAAAATTCCAGTCACGATTTTGGACATTGGCAACAGTGTGCTTAAGGATGAGAACAATACTGTGTTCCTTTGGAAACAGCTATGTGATCCATACTTTTAGAAATATCTACTCACTCTCTTCTTGGACCCAGAACACAACCTTTCATCCCAGTCTGTGACCAGCTGAAACACTGGCTTGCCTGCTTCAAAGGGAAAGCAACAGGTTTACAAAAATATGACAGGCATGCACTTCTGTTGTTAAGGAGTGTGGGTATGGCTTATGTTTGAGTGTGCAGCTGCACATACTTTAATCACTGTTTTAATTAAGTCTGGGACTATAGCACTGGTTTACAAAGGAAAAGGAAATTTGTGGATATAGAGACACAGAATAGTTTGTTTTTGTTTATGTGTACAGTTCAATGCACCACTGCCTGACACGTCCCAGAGAAGATCTTAGCCACCTCACAAATGTAAAAGCTAGACTTTGTCAAAGTTCAGTATCTCATAGTTTTTTACACATTACGTGACATAACATTTCCCAAACTGAAGAAAGCTAGGTCTGTCTTCAAGCTTAATGGATGCAGTTATGGTATCTGCAACAGATCCTGCAAAATGTTCCTTATACAAATCTTTCACATGCTTTAGCACCATTCTTTATTTTATCTACCCAGACCTCCTGCAATTAGATTTAATTTGGAAAAAACTGTGAGACATGTTTGTCCCATAATTAGCTGTACTAGTTTTTAAAAGGTAATTTTAAACCTTTAATTTAATGCATAACTGGAATGAATGGAGAAATTCACACTCCATTATTGCTATTCCTAGTTGTCTGTAAAATTAGGGCTCTTGGAACAATAGTGATAGTCAAGGTGTAACATTTTATAACAGATTATAATAGCTACTCCCTCCATTAAAAACTACTGAAAGAAAAACAGGAATCATTTTCCTTCCCTCTGTCTTATAAATACAATTATAGAATTGTAAAATAAAAATTGACTTTTAAGGATGGTGAATATTAATTTCAAAGGCTGAGGATAAATGTATCTCATTTGCATAAAGGTAATAATATTTGAGTTCTTTTTGTTTTCTCAAAGAATAAAAACATAAATATATCAAATGAGTGTGCACTTGAGCATCTAAATAACTGTGTGTATTTGACTGGTGCAATCAAGTTACTTGTATTTTATTGATTTACAACATACCTTCTCCAGGGAGATGTTATATACTTATCTGGCTTTTGTGAAGAAACATACACAAATTAGTTTTTTAAACTGTAACTCTAATGTATTTAAACTAGTAAACAAGATTTATACAGATGAAGTACAAAATAACTGAGTAGAAAAATTTGTCCATAAAACTGAAGAAAACTATTTTTGCTTAGAGATTAGAAGAAAAAAATTCCCCAATTCTCTAGGCCAATGCTGAGAATATTACAGTCTTTGAACTTGCATTGAGATGGATTTTTGGGGCCAGCCTCATTTCTCAACTAATTCCACCCTTAGTCACTGTCATTGTTACACTCTTTCACAGAACAAAAATATCCCAGTTTCAGCAAATGTGTAATAAAGAGACCTTGTCCCACACCTATGCACACCACAAGACCCAGTTTG